TTATAGCTGGGGATTTAATTCCCCACTAACAACCTAGATAAATCATCAGGCAAAAAATCAGCAAAGTGATCTGGAGCCTCAGCTGGATACTTGATCAAGTGGACTTAATAGATAACTACAGAATACTCCACCCAACAACCACAGAATATACATTCTACTCATCACCACACCAAGATCTATCACCTCCTCGGCCATAAAACAAGTATAAACAAATTTAATAAGATTGAAATACTGCCATGCACAGATCACAGTGGAATGAAAATAAATATCAACACCAAAAAAAATCCTCCCCAAATCCAAAAAGACATGGGCACTAAACAGCATGATGTTGAATGACTACTGAGTCAACACAGAAATCAAAACAGAAATTTAAAAATTCCTGGAAACAAATGAAAATGAAGAAATATCCTGCCAAAACCTCTCAGATACCATGAAATCAGTTCTAAGAGGGGAATTTCTATCTCCACAAATATACATCAAGAAACTGGAAAGATCACAAGTTAACAGCCTAACAAATTACCTAAGGGAACTAGAAAGAGAAGACAACCAAAACTCTGACTTTAGCAGAAGAATCCTGATCACCAAAGTAAAAGCCCAAAATCAAGACATAGAAGACAAAAGTGTCATAGAAAAAAATAATAATAATAAAACAAAGAAGCTGGTTCTTTGAAAGAATAACCAAGATTGATGGACCCCCTAGCCAGAATGACCAAGAAAAAGAGAGAAAAAGCCCAAATAAACTCAATCAGAAGTGCAAAAGATAAAATCACAACTGATCCTGAAGAAATACAAAAGATTATCAGAGATTACTATGCACACCTGTATGGAAACAAGTTTGATAATCTAAATGAAATGGATGATTTTCTGACATCACACAACCTCCCAAGGTTGAAACAAGAAGACATTGAGACACTAAATAGAACAATAACAACAGAGAAAATTGACTCCGCCATAAGAAAACTACCAACCAAAAAAAAGCCCTGGACAAGACATGTTTCCAGTAGAATTCTACACAACATATAAGGAGGAGCTGATAGCAATCCTACTGAAAGTATTCCAGGCAATTGAGAAACACAGAACTCTCCCCATTTTATGAAGCTAACATCACACTGATACCTAAACTGGGTAAAGATCCAACAAAAAAATAGAAGTACAGGACAATACCCCTAATGAACATAGATTTAAAAATTCACAACAAGATTCTAGCAAATAAGATCCAACAAAACATCTCAAAAATCATCCACCGTGATCAAATCATCTTCAACCCCAGGATGGAGGGCTGGTTCAACATCCACAAGACCATAAATGTAATTAAATACATCAACAGATATAAAAACAAGAGCCACATGATTATATCATTAGATGCAGAAAAAGCTTTTGATAAAATCCAGCACCCCTTCTTGATAAAAACCCTCAAACACCTAGGTATAGAAGGAACATACCTCACAACAGTAAGTGCCATCTACGATAAACCCACAGCCAGCATATTGCTAAACAGACAGAAACTGGAAACATTTCTCCTGAAAACCAGAACAAGACAAAACTTCCCACCCTCACCTCTCTTGTTCAACATCGTGTTGGAAGCCATAGCTAGAGCAATCACACAAACGAAGGAAATCAGGAGTATCCAAATAGGATAAGAGGAAGTTAAGTTATCCCTCTTTGCTGACAATATGATCCTACATCTTGAAAACCCAAGAGAATCTGTCAAAAACCTGCTTTCAATGATAAAGGACTTTGGCAAAGTCTTGGGGGTACAAAGTAAATATGCAAAAGACAGTTGTCTTCTTACACACCAGCACAGCAGAGAACCAAATAGAAAGTGCAATCCCATTCACAATAGCCACACAAAAAGAAGAAATACCTCAGCATCTTCCAAACCAGAGAAGTGAAGAAACTTTACAATAAAAACTAAAAAACACTGCTCAAAGAAATCCAAAAACACAAACAAATGGTAAAATATTCCATATTTGTGGATTGGAAGAGTCGACATTGTTAAGATATCCATCCATCCTACCAAAGGCAATCTACAAATTCAATGTAATACCCATTAAAATTCCAACATCATTCTTCTCAGACCTGAAAATGACACTACAGAAATTCAAATGGAAACACAAATGACCACAAATAGCCAAAACAATACTTAGCAAATGAAACAAAGCAAGAGATATCACACTTCCAGACTTTAAACTTTAAGGCTGCAATAATCAAAACAGCCTGGTATTGGTACAGAATAAGCATATGAGTCAATAGAACAGGATAGAGATTATGGAAGCAAACCTCAATTTCTCAATCATCTTTAACAAAGTCTCTACCAATAACCACTAGGGAGAGGAGAACCCATTCAGTAAATGGTGCTGGGAAAACTGCCTGATCACATGCAGAAGATTGAAACAAGACCCCTACCTATCACCACACACAAAAATCAACTCTAAAAGTAAAACCTCAAACTAAAGAACCTTAGAAAACACAGGAGATGCCCTTATGGAAATTGGAACTGGCAACCAATTGCTGATCAAAGCCCCAAGTGTTCATGCCATAAATGATAAGGTAGACAAGTGGGACCTCATCAAACTGAAAAGTTTCTGCAAAGCAAAAGAAATAATCAAGAGAGCAGAAAGACAGTCCACAGAATGGGAAAAAATATTTACCAACCATATATCTGACAAAGGCCTAACATCTAGGATCTACAAGGAACTCAAATGTGCCAAAAAGAACAAAACAAACAGAGTCATTAAAAAGAGGGCAAAAGACATGAATAGGCACCTCTCAAAAGAAGATATGTGGACAGCCAATAGACACATGAAAAAGTGCTCAGCCTCACTAATCATCAGAGAAATGCAAATCAAAACCATGTTGAGATACCACTTAACCCCAGTAAGAATGGCCATCATTAATGAAACAAACAACAATAGATGCTGGCGAGGATGCGGAGAAAAAGGAACACTTCTACACTGCTATTGAGAATGCAAACCTGGGCAACCTCCTGGAAAAAGTATGGTGATTTCTAAAAGAACTAGACATTGACCTCCATATGACCCGGCAATCTCCCTACTGGGAAAATACCTGGAGGAATTCAAAGTATTCTATAAAAAAGATGCCTGCATGTGCATGTTTATTGCAGCACTATTCACAATATCAAAAACATGGAGCCAACCATACTGCCCATCCAAACTGAACTGTATTAAAATATGTTGCATGTATACACTATGGAATATTACTTAGTCATAAAGAAGGAACTTCACAGCAACTTGGATGGATTTAGAGTATATTATACTCAGTGCTCTATCACAGAAACAATGAACAGAGTATCATATGTTCTCAAGCATAATACTATAAGAAAGGGATTGGCAGTGGCAGGATACGGCCGGGGTTGAGGGGGGAGCACAACATCAATAAGGGTACCTGATCTCAAACCAGGCAATGTGGGGAACAAATGGAGGCCTAAACTTTGCCTGTACGATGACCACTTGTATACCTAATCCTGAATTGTACTCTACATCTTTAAAATTAAAAAAAATTTTTTAAAGAAATAGATGATCTCAAATATAAATGTTTAGGTGAAACTGTTTAGGGAGCTGGAGCTTCTATATAAGTATTAAGAAAATAAGCAATTAGCCCATATAATTGGGATAAATATTTTCCTGGAGAGAAAACAAAAATTAATTTAATTATTTAAAATTATTGTTTCTCTTGGTTGATTATAGGGTTTTTTTAGGTGATCTTGGGAAAATCTCTTAACTCTGAATTCATCCGCAAAAATAAAGTTAAGAAAGATTTCCTATTCTTGGAAGCATGTTTGAGACCCAAAGGAAATAACTATGAGCTCCTCAAAAACAGAGACCAAGTGGATGAGTGCTTTAAACCACAACTCACTTCTTTCTCTTTTCCTTTAGAGCACAGAGCTCTTAAACATTATGATCAGTTGAACAGCCAGCTGTCAAATTACCCCCACTATAAATTCACTCAGAGAAAAACTTGAAGTTAAATGGAGTGACCCTTCTTGAGAAGCCTCTGAAACAAAATACAAATAGCTTCCATCACCCCAACACTCTTAGACATTCTTTCTCTCAACATAAACTTTGTCAGAGCTTGTGTCCATTTAAGTGAGTTGTTAGACTGAATTTCTAAAAATTTGGCACACTATGGAGCACAGTTCCTAGGTAAACACTAATATATCAGGTGATTGGTAAAGTTTTCAGGTTTTGTTAGTGACAGGACAAAAGGAATTCACACTGCTTCAAAAGAGGCTCCGATGAGACATCAGAAGGAATTTCCTGACACTAAAAACAGTTAAACCCTGGAGGAGCAGGACAGAAAAGGAAATATAATATCTTCTTTCATTTGAATAGAGTCAAAAAGTGAAACAAGTTAAATAAATGAAGACTGTTTACAAACATAAAGACAGAAGAGTTGATTTTTTTTTTTTTTTTTGAGTTAGAGTCTTTCGCCCAGACTGGAGTGCAGTGGCACGCTCCTGGCCACCACAGCCTCAACCTGCTGGGCCCCGGCGATCCTTCTGCCTCAGTCTTCCGAGTAGCTGGAACCACAGGCACGCACTATCATGCCCGGCTAATTTTTTTGATTTATTGTAGAGATGAGGCCTCACCAAGTTGCCCAGGAGTGTCTCGAACCCGCGGGCTCAGGCAATTCACTCACCTCAGCCTCCCAAAGTGTGGGATTACAGGCTGAGCCACCAAGCCCGGCCAGAAGAGTTGATTTTTAAGGTGTCCTCTGAACTTAATATTCAGTTAATTCCTGTTATTATTTGTGTTAGTAAATTCTCCTGAATTCTCTGCTTAATATTCCAATGCTATGAGCCCAGGAAAGCCACTTATGCCTCCTGACTATAATCAGTGATGCATTATAATTTTTAAGCTGTTTTATATTTTATGTCAAAGTCATCAAAATTATTTTCATGCATGTATTTATGTACAGGATGAGTTAAAAGTATCCAAAGAAAGAGTATGTTTTCTGAATCACCTCTTCCTTCTTATTCTTCAACAAGACAACAGAATACCACATGCTTTTTTCTCAGCTTCTTCATAGCTCTCTTCATATCAGCATTTCTGAGTGTGTAAATGAGAGGGTTCAACATAGGTGTGATCACTGTGTAAAACACGGAGACTACCTTATCTACAGGAAAACTGCAGAAAGGCCTCAAGTAGATGAATACACATGGCACAAAAATCAAGCTGACCACCGTCAGGTGGGAGGCACAGGTAGAGAGGACTTTGTACTGTCCCTGGCGGAAGCGAGTTCTCAAGGTGATTAGGATGATGGCATAAGACAAAATCAGGACCAAGAAGCAGATGAGAGACAGTAGACCGCTGTTGGCAACCATCAGCAGTTCAACTGCATAGGTATCCATGCAGGCCAGCTTGATGATCTGTGGGACATCACAGTAGAAGTTGTCTAGTTCATTGGGGCCACAGAAAGGCAGCTGGATAACCAACAGGACCTGTGTGATAGAGTGGATGAGACCCCCACACCAGCAGGCAAGAATTAACTGAAGACATAGCTGGCGACTCATGACTGTCAGGTAATGCAAGGGGTTACATATGGCAACATACCTATCATAGGCCATGACTGTCAGCAGAAACATCTCACTGGCTCCCAGAAAGTGGAGGAAGTAGATCTGGGCCAGGCATCCTGAAAAAGAGATGAGCTTGCCCTGCTGTAGGAAATCCCCTAACATCTTAGGTACAGTAACACAACTCAGGCATAAGTCAATGAAAGAGAGATGGCCCAGAAAATAATACATAGGAGACTGGAGCAGGCAAGCATCAGCTCTCACCATTACCACTATCAAGAGGTTTCCGAGGACAATAGCAATGTAAAGAAACAAAAATAAAAAGAAGAGAAAAAGCTGCAGCTCCCAGGAGGATGATAAGCCCAGAAGAACAAATTCTGTCACCTTAGAATCATTTTTCTTTTTCATCAAGTCAAGAATGCCAGGTGACCTAGAGAAAAATTAGAAGAGAGATTTAAGTTAGACAAAAGACAAATATATATAAAGCATATATTAATATACTATATACATATGGTTACATATTATTTGTATATTGCAAATACACATGATGGCTATGTCATGCAAAGATTAGTAGTTGTTATAAATGTACATATTAGAAAACTTGTATCATTTAAAAAAGATTAAACAAGAACTCATATTCTTGTCTTCAAATTTATTACTCCAAGTCACAGAAGTTGAGAAGCTTATAAAGATTGGGTAAGCACCTAACTCCAGTCAGAATGGCAATTATCAATAACTCAAAAAATAACGGTTGCTGGAGAGTGTGTGGCGAAAAGGGAACGCTTCTACACTGTTGGTGGGAGTGTAAACTAGTGCAACCTCTGTGGAAAGCAATGTGGCGATTCCTAAAAGCTCTAGAAATCGACCTTCCCCACAATCCCCCTACTGGGAATATACCCTGAAGACCTCAAATCACTCTATTAAAAAGATACCTGCACACGTATGTTTATCGCAGCGTTGTTCACAATAGCAACAACCTGGAAACAACCATGCTGCCACCAAAAGAGGACTGGATTTAAAAAATGTGGTACATATACATGATGGAATACTATGCAGCCATAAAAAAGAACAAAATCATGAATTTTGCAGTATCCTGGATGGAACTAGAGTCTATAATACTGAGTGACCTCTCACAGAAACAAATTTCTGAGTATCACATGTTCTCACTCATATAGTGAACCTTGAACATCCAACGTAATACTATAAGAAAATGACTGACAGTGGTGGGAAACTATGGGGTGGGGAGGGGAAGGGAGATAGGATTAACGGTAGTAAGTATCTGTCTGGGGACAGGGAGACACCTCTTATCAACAAGAGTGCCTGAACGAAACATATTTGTATACCTAACCCTTAACTGTACCCCACAATATCATAAAAAATATTGATTATTTAAAAAAAAAGACTGGGTAAGAATAAACAAAGTCTCCATTTTAATGTTTACGGAAGCAGTAGACTCAGGATAAGTGGGACAAAGATTATAAGACAGTAATCACCAAGAGAAGAAATGAAGGGCCATGACTCATATCACTGAAGCATGTACAAAAGACCTCCATGACCCATTTAATAGAAAGAATAATAAGAGAAACCAGAATTGTGCTGCTTCTGGACTTCCCAACAACCATAGGTACACAAAAGAAAAGATTTACTAAGATATTGTTTTATCCATTTTTTCTCTGTTCTGTATTCACCCCCAATACTGGGTAGAAATACCATTGATTACAAATTAAAAATCAGAAAACATTGATACATTTCTTCCACTGAAGTTTTTAAGAATTAGTAGATGCTTCCCTGTCTAGATTATTTTTTGTCTAGAACCAACTCTGGGCAAAATCGGAAGAGACAAGATTTGTATTCTGTCCAAGGTATCTATTCCATTTTGTACTTTGTTCTCTCAAGTCATTCAGACAAAATTGTCTGATAAAATCATTCATACTAGGTGTCAGGGATTTACATAGACAATGCAGAAAAGTCCCTGAATTTTAAAAAAGAAAAATCTTTAATATCTTCTTTTATTTGAATAGAGTTAAAAAGTGAAACAAGTTGAATAAATGAAGACTACTTTCAAGCAGAAATATAGAAGAGTTTATTTTTCTCTACTATCTTTATGTTTGTAAGTAGTCTTCATTAGAGTAATCTTTCTCTTAGGGCATTATTTCAAGATAAGCAGGTAAAAGAGAGATTTGGGGCTTATGCAACTTTTGGATGCCTCTGTTGTCATACAGTATGTCACCCTCTTCACAGCTTCACAGACAAGTGCACAGTTACACCTAATTCTATAACCTCATAATTAATAAAAAGGACCACCTCTCTTTCTAGATTAAATTGGAAAATAAAGCAAAAAATGCAAGCTAAGAAATTCTTTGCTGTCATATGTACAGCCCTACTTGAATTCTGCTATATTGAAAATTTTCCAATCTTTTTTGGACACACCAAGGATTGCAAATTTCCATAAGAAAATGTCATTCTGATGTTCTTTTCCGTTATCTAAAATGTCTAATTAACAGGGGCCAAGCTGTCATTAAAATTCTGAGTCTAATTTTAAACATAGTCGTGAGAAAACTGGAAAGAGTCTGAGAAGGAGCAACAGAAGTTATTCTGAAAAATCAAAAAAGAGTTTCTAGAAACTAGAAAAATGGGAAAGCATAATCCAAAGCATTGTTGTATTTTATTCTTAAAATATGGCTGAGAACCAAGGTGATTTTTTTCCTTATGCAAATGCATAGAATAGGAAGGGTGTATTGTATACTTGTTATTTCCACAGAACAGATACAGAGAAAGGTAAGTTTGTATTAAAATAGATGAAATTGAAATTAAACAAATCAGAAGGGTAGATTAATTAATGAAAAATTATATAAAATATATTATGACCCAAATTACCGCAAATCATTTATAAGCCTTAGTTTATAATTTACTTCTTTAAGGTAATATTTAATATTAGGGAATTTTAGTACTAAAAATATTTTTGACAGTTCCTAGGTGATTACTGTAATAGGATTTTATCTAACAGTGATATCTAAATCTTTACATTTACATAAGACAAAAATAGGCAATGCTGTCTCAATTATTTGTGTTGCAATTAAGTAAGGACTGGATTCTGATTATTCTTGATTTTTTTTTACTGACTCAAGAAATGTGCTGCCTTTAGATAATATAAAAACATAATATCAACCAATATGCAAAATTCACTCTCTGTATTAATAAAATTGCCACATTTGGTAGAGGCTTCACCTAGCTTCTATGTTTCCCAAAGTCTCTGATCACAGTAAGAAACTTGTCCCATGACTATTCTGTGAAGAATGAAAAAACACTATACTCATCCACATGAAAGAATTTCCATCCCCAAAAACTACCTCACACCACAATATAATTTTCCTTACCAAACTTCTACAAAGGCCTGGGAAGCAACATTTTAAAATGCTAACTTGATGCTAGAGCTCAAGGAACAGTTGTGGTGGTTCACACCTGTAATCCCAGCACTTGGGGAGGTCAAGGTAGGAGGATCACTTGAGTCCAGGAGTTTGAGACCAGCCTGGACAACATAGCGAGATTACATCTCTACAAAAAAAATTTTTTTTTTTAATTTAGTCGAGCTGGTCTCGTTGGCTCAGCCTGTAATCCCAGCACTTTGGGAGGCCGAGGTGAGTGGATTGCCTAAGCCTGCGGGTTCGAGATCAGCCCGGGCAACTTAGCAAGACCTCATCTCTACAATAAATAAAAAATTAGCCTGCCGTGGTAGTGCGCACCTATGGTTTCAGCTGCTTGGAAGGCTGAGGCGGAAGGATTGCCAATGCCTAGCAGGTCTACACTGCAGTAGCCATGAGTGTGCTACTGCACCCCAGCCTGGTCAACAGAGTGAGATTCCAACTCAAAACATTAGTCGGACCTTGTGGCATACACCTGAAGTCCCAGCTACTTGGGAGGCTGAAGTGGGAAAATTACATTGTGGTGGGAGGTTGAGTGCACTGTACGCCAGCCTAGACAACAGAGCAAGAAGACCCTGTCTCAAAAATAAATAAATAAATAAAACTGCCAGCTCCATTATCCTATTATCAGTTTCATCAAGCATTTCATGTTTCAAATCCTAAGAATATCCTAAGAATTTTCAAAGGTCAATAAAAATATTTCAAGTACACAAAATGAGCCAAAGAAATTGAAAGTGCTTAATGAAAATGAAAGTCTCTATGGAAGGACTCTGCAGGTTGAAGAAAAAAGGACAAAATCAAGCTCCTTAAATAATCAAAGGCTATTTCTGGACAGCTGACCAGTTAGTCTCTAGTCTTTCTAAACAGGGAAACATTATTTATGGGAATAAAATATTAAGAAAAGAAGTAAAGTTTTTCTCATGTGACTTGTGTATTTTTTGGTTTGGGGTTTTTTTTAACCAATGGAGTATATTATATTTTTCTATTTTGTTTATTTTTGTCGAGGTGGAAATAAAGGCATTATTAGAGGAAGAAATGAGCACACAGACAATAAAAAATTATTTGCGGGTTCGAGACGCACCTGGGCAGCGAGACCTCATCTCTACAATAAATCAAAAAAATCAGCCGGGCGTGGTAGTGCTTGCCTGTAATTCCGGCTACTCGGAAGGCTGAGGCGGAAGGATCGCCGGAGCCCAGCAGGTCGAGGCTGCGGTGGCCGGGAGCGGCCACTGCACTCCAGTCTGGGCGACAGAGTGAGACTCCAACTCAAAAAAAAAAAAAAAATTATTTGCTAGCTGGAGTTTAAATGTCATGTGAACTCCTTTTGGGAGTATCAGATGTGTTTTTTAATTTCTCCTGAAACAATAAGAAATTAACACTGTTAGTTAGAGATGGTACCTATGATGGTATTTCCTATTGAAAATAGCATAATCTGTCTGCCTTGAACACGTGTCCTTGTTTGAAACATTGTTTTATATTGCATCTGGGGGAGTTAAAGTAGATTTAGCAAAAGGCAACTAAAATAATTAAAGAAATGAAAACCCGAATCTGAGGGACAGAAGCAGAATTAGATAGTCTTAAGACAAAATTGTTATAAAACCAATGCCTTCAGCTACATGCAGTTGGTCCTGTCTTATCCAAACCCACATTCCATTATACCACCATCCCCAGAATTCCTCCACGCTACAGAAATTTCATTGTTCTGTGAATGTTTCTAAAATAAAACTAAGACAACAAAACTTAACGATCTCTTAAGTCTAAAAACAATGAATGCCAGAGTATGCAGAGAAAAAGAGTAAAGGAAAGAGTAAGCATAATAATAGCATCAGAGTCAGAAAGAGGAAACTGAAGGTGAGAGGAGCCTTGAATAAACATATCTGAGAAACTTACATTGTTGCTGGTCAGGAGTAATGTGGTTTCAAAGAAGGAATTTGTTATCCTGCCGTTCATATCACCAGTCGCCTCTTTAGTCTCAGGACAGCAAAA